TGTGTCCATGCTCTGTGGTCACCAGCCAGGTGTGTCAGTGCAAATGCACTGTGGTCACTAGCCAGGTGTGTCTGTGCTCATGCTCTGTCTTTACCAGCCAGGTGTGCCTGTGCACATGCTCTATGGTCACTAGCCAGGTGTGTCTGTGCCCATGCTCTGTGGTCACCAGCCAGGTGTGTCTGTGCCCATGCTCTGTGGTCACCAGCCGTGTGTGTGTGCCCAAGCTCTGTGGTCACCAGCCAGGTGTGTCAGTGCCCAAGTACTGTGGTCACCAGCCATGTGTGTCTGTGCCCATGCTCTGTGGTCAGCAGCCAGGTGTGACTGTGCACATGCTCTGTGGTCACCAGCCAGGTGTGTCTGTGCCCATGCACTCTGATCTCCTGCCAGGTGTGTCTGTGCCAATGCTCTGTGGTCACCAGCCAGGTGTGCCTGTGCACATGCTCTGTGGTCACCAGCCAGGTGTGTCTGTGCTCATGCACTCTGGTCACCAGCCAGGTGTGTCTGTGCCCATGCTCTGTCGTCACCAGCCAGGTGTGTCTGTGCCTGTGGTCACCAGCCAGGTGTGCATGTGCCCATGCTCTGTGGTCACCAGCCAGGTGTGTCTGTGCACATGCTGTCACCAGCCAGGTGTGACTGTGCATATGTCCTGTGGTCACCAGCCAGGTGTGTCTGTGCCCATGCTCTGTCGTCACCAGTCATGTGTGTCTGTTCCCATGGTCTGTGGTCACCAGCGAGGTGTGTCAGTGCCCTAGTACTGTGGTCACCAGCCAGGTGTGCCTGTGCCCATGCTCTCTGGTCACCAGCCAGTTGTGTCTGTGCCCATGCTCTGTGGTCACGAGCCAGGTGTGTCTGTGTCCATGCTCTGTGGTCACCAGCGAGGTGTGCCTGTGCCCATGCTCTGTGGTCACCAGCCAGGTGTGTCTGTGCACATGCTCTGTCTTTACCAAGCCATGTGTGCCTGTGCACATGCTCTGTGGTCACCAGCCAGGTGTGTCTCTGCCCATGCTCTGTGTTCACCATCCAGGTGTGTCACTGCACATGCTCTGTGGTCACCAGCCAAGCGGAAGTGCTTGTCGGGGCCAGTTCTTGTAACGGTGTCTTCAACAGCAAGCAGAAAATCAGTTGACGAGAAAGACAGTGAGCTCAATTTTCACATATCTCTGCCTTTTTCTAAGAACAGCAGGAAATGGCCAAACCCCAGGGACTAGTGACATTTGAGGATGTGGCTGTGGATTTCACCCAGGAAGAGTGGCAGTACCTGAACTCTCTGCAGAGGACCTTATACCGAGATGTGATGCTAGAGACCTACAGCAACCTGGTCTCCGTGGGGCAACAGGTTTGCAAAGCAGACCTCATCCTCAAGATGGAGGTGGAAGAGCTATGCCCAGCAGAAGACAGAATTCCAATTTGGAGCTTTCCAGAAGTCTGCCAAGTTGGTGAAAAGATTGAGAGCCAGCATCAAGATGACCAAGATCAATGTCTCTTGATGCAAGTTGGAAAATAACGAAGGTAATGAATTTGGAAACACTCTTCATCTGAGTACAAGCCTTGTTATTCCAATACAAAGACCTCATAAACTTGAAACATTTGGAAATGATATGGTAGATAATGTAGACTTATTTAGAAGTGAAACACGATAATGGGTGTGCAAAATTATTCTTCCATACCGAGTTTGAGAAATCAAATCCTGTAGTGAAGCCCTATGGATATAAAGAATGCGGGAAAGTCCTCAGGCGAAAGAAGCCCTATGGATATAAAGAATGCGGGAAAGTCCTCAGGCGAAAGAAAGGTCTTAGTCTTCATCAGAGAATTAAAAGTGGAGAGAAACCATTTGAATGTACTGCATGTCAGAAAACCTTCAGCAAGAAGTCACACCTCATTGTCCAGTCACACCTCATTGTCCACTGGAGGACTCATACAGGGGAGAAACCATTTGCATGCACCGAATGTGGAAAAGCTTTTAGCCAAAAATCTCAGCTAATTATACCGAGTTTGAGAAATCAAATCCTGTAGTGAAGCCCTATGGATATAAAGAATGCGGGAAAGTCCTCAGGCGAAAGAAAGGTCTTAGTCTTCATCAGAGAATTAAAAATGGAGAGAATTATACCGAAAGTCCTCAGGCGAAAGAAAGGTCTTAGTCTTCATCAGAGAATTAAAAATGGAGAGAAACCATTTGAATGTACTGCATGTCGGAAAACCTTCAGCAAGAAGTCACACCTCATTGTCCACTGGAGGACTCATTCAGGGGAGAAACCATTTGCATGCACCGAATGTGGAAAAGCTTTTAGCCAAAAATCTCAGCTAATTATACCGAGTTTGAGAAATCAAATCCTGTAGTGAAGCCCTATGGATATAAAGAATGCGGGAAAGTCCTCAGGCAAAAGAAGCCCTATGGATATAAAGAATGCGGGAAAGTCCTCAGGCGAAAGAAAGGTCTTAGTCTTCATCAGAGAATTAAAAATGGAGAGAAACCATTTGAATGTACTGCATGTCGGAACTGCATGTCGGAAAACCTCATAAACTTGAAACTTTTGGAAATGATATGGTAGATAATGTAGACTTATTTAGAAGTGCATTTAGAAGTGCTGTGGAAAAGAAACAAGATAATGGGTGTAAACTTTTGGAAATGATATGGTAGATAATGTAGACTTATTTAGAAGTGCATTTAGAAGTGCTGTGGAAAAGAAACAAGATAATGGGTGTGCAAAATTATTCTTCCATACCGAGTTTGAGAAATCAAATCCTGTAGTGAAGCCCTATGGATATAAAGAATGCGGGAAAGTCCTCAGGCGAAAGAAGCCCTATGGATATAAAGAATGCGGGAAAGTCCTCAGGCGAAAGAAAGGTCTTAGTCTTCATCAGAGAATTAAAAATGGAGAGAAACCATTTGAATGTACTGCATGTCGGAAAACCTTCAGCAAGAAGTCACACCTCATGTCCACATGTCTCTGCCCATGCTCTGTGGTCACCAGCCAGGTGTGTCAGTGCCCATGCTCTGTGGTCACCAGCCAGGTGTGCCTGTGCACATGTACTGCGGTCACCAGCAAGGTCTGTCTGTGACCATGGTCTGTGGTCACCACCCAGGTGTGTCTGTGCGCATGGTCTCTGGTCACCAGCCATGAGGTCCTCTGCACGTGCGCTGTGGTTACCAGCCAGGTGTGTCTGTGCACATGCTGTGTCGTCACCAGCCAGGTGTGTCTGTGCACATGTACTGCGGTCACCAGCCAGGTCTGTCTGTGACCATGCTCTGTGGTCACCACCCAGGTGTGTCTGTGCCCATGCTCTCTGGTCACCAGCCAGGTGTGTCTGTGCACATGCTCTGTCGTTACCAGCCAGGTGTGTCTGTGCACATGTACTGTGGACACTAGCCAGTTCTGTCTGTGACCATGCTCTGTGGTCACCAGGCAGGTGTGTCTGTGCCCATGCTCTCTGGTCACCAGCCAGGAGGTCCTCTGCACGTGCACTGTGGTTACCAGCCAGGTGTGCCTGTGACCATGCTCTGTGGTCACCAGCCAGGTGTGTCTGTGCCCATGCTCTCTGGTCACCAGCCAGGAGGTCCTCTGCACGTGCACTGTGGTTACCAGGCAGGTGTGCCTGTGACAATGCTCTGTGGTCACCAGCCAGCTTAGCCTGTACAGAATGCACTGTGGTCACCAGACAGGTGTGTCTGTGCCCATGCTCTGTGGTCACCAGCCAGGTGTGTCTGTGCCGATGCTCTGTGGTCACCAGCCGTGTGTGTGTGCCCAAGCTCTGTGGTCACCAGCCAGGTGTGTCATTGCCCAAGTACTGTGGTCACCAGCCATGTGTGTCTGTGCCCATGCTCTGTGGTCAGCAGCCAGGTGTGACTGTGCACATGCTCTGTGGTCACCAGCCAGGTGTGTCTGTGCCCATGCACTCTGATCACCTGCCAGGTGTGTCTGTACCCATGCTCTGTCGTCACCAGCCAGGTGTGCCTGTGCACATGTACTGCGGTCACCAGCAAGGTCTGTCTGTGACCATGGTCTGTGGTCACCACCCAGGTGTGTCTGTGCTCATGGTCTCTGGTCACCAGCCATGAGGTCCTCTGCACGTGCACTGTGGTTACCAGCCAGGTGTGTCTGTGCACATGCTGTGTCGTCACCAGCCAGGTGTGTCTGTGCACATGTACTGTGGTCACCAGCCAAGACTGTCTGTGACCATGCTCTATGGTCACCAGCCAGGTGTGTCTGTGCCCATGCTCTCTGGTCACCAGCCAGGAGGTCCTCTGTACGTGCACTGTGGTTACCAGCCAGGTGTGCCTGTGACCATGCTCTATGGTCACCGGCCAGGTTAGCCTGTGCCCATGCACTGTGGTCAGCAGACAGGTGTGTCTCTGCCCATGCTCTGTGGTCACCAGCCAGGTGTGTCTGTGTCCATGCTCTGTGGTCACCAGCCAGGTGTGTCAGTGCAAATGCACTGTGGTCATTAGCCAGGTGTGTCTCTGCCCGTGCTCTGTGGTCACCAGCCAGGTGTGTCAGTGCCCATGTACTGTCGTCACCAGCCAGGTTTGTCTGTGCCCATGCTCTGTGGTCACCAGCCAGGTGTGTCTGTGCACATGCTCTGTCTTTACCAGCCAGGTGTGCCTGTGCACATGCTCTATGGTCACCAGCCAGGTGTGTCTGTGCACATGTTCTGTGTTCACCCTCCAGGTGTGTCTGTGCCCATGTACAGTGGTCACCAGTCATGTGTGTCTGTGCCCATGCTCTGTGGTCACCAGCCAGGTGTGTCAGTGTCCATGCTCTGTGGTCACCAGCCATGTGTGTCTGTGCCCATGCTCTGTGGTCACCAGCCAGGTGTGTCTGTGCACATGTACTGCGGTCATCAGCCAGGTCTGTCTGTGACCATGCTCTGTGGTCAGCAGCCAGGTGTGCCTGTGCCCATGCTCTGTGTTCACCAGCCAGGTGTGCCTGTGGACATGCTCTGTGGTCACCATCCAGGTGTGTCAGTGCACATGCTCTGTGGTCACCAGCCAAGCGGAAGTGCTTGTCGGGGCCAGTTCTTGTAACGGTCTCTTCAACAGCAAGCAGAAAATCAGTTGACGAGAAAGACAGTGAGCTCAATTTTCACATATCTCTGCCTTTTCCCAAGAACAGCAGGAAATGGCCAAACCCCAGGGACTAGTGACATTTGAGGATGTGGCTGTGGATTTCACCCAGGAGGAGTGGCAGTGCCTGAACTCTCTGCAGAGGACCTTATACCGAGATGTGATGCTAGAGACCTACAGCAACCTGGTCTCCCTGGGGCAACAGGTTTGTAAACCAGACCTCATCCTCAAGTTGGAGGTGGAAGAGCTATGCCCAGCAGAAGACAGAATTCCAATTTGGAGCTTTCCAGAAGTCTGCCAAGTTGGTGAAAAGATTGAGAGCCAGCATCAGGATGACCAAGATCAATGTCTCTTGATGCAAGTTGGATTCCCTGACAAGAAAATAATGACTACCAAGAATGGCCACGAATGTAATGAATTTGGAAACACTCTTCATCTGAGTACAAGCCTTGGTATTCCAATACAAAGACCTCATGAACTTGAAACATTTGGAAAGTGCTGTGGAAAAGAAACACGATAATGGGTGTGCAAAATTATTCTTCCATACCGAGTTTGAGAAATCAAATCCTGTAGTGAAGCCCTATGGATATAAAGGATGCGGGAAAGTCCTCAGGCGAAAGAAGCCCTTTGGATATAAAGAATGCGGTAAAGTCCTCAGGCGAAAGAAAGGTCTTAGTCTTCAAAAATGGAGAGAAACCATTTGAATGTACTGCGTGTCGGAAAACCTTCAGCAAGACGTCACAGCTCATTGTCCACTGGAGGACTCATACAGGGGAGAAGCCCTATGGATATAAAGAATGCGGGAAAGTCCTCAGGCGAAAGAAGCCCTATGGATATAAAGAATGTGGGAAAGTCCTCAGGCGAAAGAAAGTTCTTAGTCAATTAAAAATGGAGAGAAACCATTTGAATGTACTGCATGTCGGAAAACCTTCAGCAAGAAGTCACACCTCATTGTCCACTGGAGGACTCATTCAGGGGAGAAACCATTTGCATGCACCGAATGTGGAAAAGCTTTTAGCCAAAAAACTCAGCTAATTATACCGAGTTTGAGAAATCAAATCCTGTAGTAAAGCCCTATGGATATAAAGAATGCGGGAAAGTCGTCAGGCGAAAGAAAGGTCTTAGTCTTCATCAGAGAATTAAAAATGGAGAGAAACCATTTGAATGTACTGCATGTCGGAAAACCTTCAGCAAGAAGTCACACCTCATTGTCCACTGGAGGACTCATTCAGGGGAGAAACCATTTGCATGCACCGAATGTGGAAAAGCTTTTAGCCAAAAATCTCAGCTAATTATACCGAGTTTGAGAAATCAAATCCTGTAATGAAGCCCTATGGATATAATTAATGGGGGAAAGTCCTCAGGCGAAAGAAGCCCTATGGATATAAAGAATGCGGGAAAGTCCTCAGGCGAAAGAAAGGTCTTAGTCTTCATCAGAGAATTAAAAATGGAGAGAAACCATTTGAATGTACTGCATGTCGGAAAACCTTCAGCAAGATGTCACACTTCATGTCCACATGTCTCTGCCCATGCTCTGTGGTCACCAGCCAGGTGTGTCAGTGCCCATGTACTGTGGTCACCAGCCAGGTTTGTCTCTGCCCATGCTCTGTGGTCACCAGCCAGGTGTGTCAGTGCCCATGCTCTGTGGTCACCAGCCAGGTGTGCCTGTGCACATGTACTGCGGTCACCAGCAAGGTCTGTCTGTGACCATGGTCTGTGGTCACCACCCAGGTGTGTCTGTGCGCATGGTCTCTGGTCACCAGCCATGAGGTCCTCTGCACGTGCGCTGTGGTTACCAGCCAGGTGTGTCTGTGCACATGCTGTGTCGTCACCAGCCAGGTGTGTCTGTGCACATGTACTGCGGTCACCAGCCAGGTCTGTCTGTGACCATGCTCTGTGGTCACCACCCAGGTGTGTCTGTGCCCATGCTCTCTGGTCACCAGCCAGGTGTGTCTGTGCACATGCTCTGTCGTTACCAGCCAGGTGTGTCTGTGCACATGTACTGTGGACACTAGCCAGTTCTGTCTGTGACCATGCTCTGTGGTCACCAGGCAGGTGTGTCTGTGCCCATGCTCTCTGGTCACCAGCCAGGAGGTCCTCTGCACGTGCACTGTGGTTACCAGCCAGGTGTGCCTGTGACCATGCTCTGTGGTCACCAGCCAGGTGTGTCTGTGCCCATGCTCTCTGGTCACCAGCCAGGAGGTCCTCTGCACGTGCACTGTGGTTACCAGGCAGGTGTGCCTGTGACAATGCTCTGTGGTCACCAGCCAGCTTAGCCTGTACAGAATGCACTGTGGTCACCAGACAGGTGTGTCTGTGCCCATGCTCTGTGGTCACCAGCCAGGTGTGTCTGTGCCGATGCTCTGTGGTCACCAGCCGTGTGTGTGTGCCCAAGCTCTGTGGTCACCAGCCAGGTGTGTCATTGCCCAAGTACTGTGGTCACCAGCCATGTGTGTCTGTGCCCATGCTCTGTGGTCAGCAGCCAGGTGTGACTGTGCACATGCTCTGTGGTCACCAGCCAGGTGTGTCTGTGCCCATGCACTCTGATCACCTGCCAGGTGTGTCTGTACCCATGCTCTGTCGTCACCAGCCAGGTGTGCCTGTGCACATGTACTGCGGTCACCAGCAAGGTCTGTCTGTGACCATGGTCTGTGGTCACCACCCAGGTGTGTCTGTGCTCATGGTCTCTGGTCACCAGCCATGAGGTCCTCTGCACGTGCACTGTGGTTACCAGCCAGGTGTGTCTGTGCACATGCTGTGTCGTCACCAGCCAGGTGTGTCTGTGCACATGTACTGTGGTCACCAGCCAAGACTGTCTGTGACCATGCTCTATGGTCACCAGCCAGGTGTGTCTGTGCCCATGCTCTCTGGTCACCAGCCAGGAGGTCCTCTGTACGTGCACTGTGGTTACCAGCCAGGTGTGCCTGTGACCATGCTCTATGGTCACCGGCCAGGTTAGCCTGTGCCCATGCACTGTGGTCAGCAGACAGGTGTGTCTCTGCCCATGCTCTGTGGTCACCAGCCAGGTGTGTCTGTGTCCATGCTCTGTGGTCACCAGCCAGGTGTGTCAGTGCAAATGCACTGTGGTCATTAGCCAGGTGTGTCTCTGCCCGTGCTCTGTGGTCACCAGCCAGGTGTGTCAGTGCCCATGTACTGTCGTCACCAGCCAGGTTTGTCTGTGCCCATGCTCTGTGGTCACCAGCCAGGTGTGTCTGTGCACATGCTCTGTCTTTACCAGCCAGGTGTGCCTGTGCACATGCTCTATGGTCACCAGCCAGGTGTGTCTGTGCACATGTTCTGTGTTCACCCTCCAGGTGTGTCTGTGCCCATGTACAGTGGTCACCAGTCATGTGTGTCTGTGCCCATGCTCTGTGGTCACCAGCCAGGTGTGTCAGTGTCCATGCTCTGTGGTCACCAGCCATGTGTGTCTGTGCCCATGCTCTGTGGTCACCAGCCAGGTGTGTCTGTGCACATGTACTGCGGTCATCAGCCAGGTCTGTCTGTGACCATGCTCTGTGGTCAGCAGCCAGGTGTGCCTGTGCCCATGCTCTGTGTTCACCAGCCAGGTGTGCCTGTGGACATGCTCTGTGGTCACCATCCAGGTGTGTCAGTGCACATGCTCTGTGGTCACCAGCCAAGCGGAAGTGCTTGTCGGGGCCAGTTCTTGTAACGGTCTCTTCAACAGCAAGCAGAAAATCAGTTGACGAGAAAGACAGTGAGCTCAATTTTCACATATCTCTGCCTTTTCCCAAGAACAGCAGGAAATGGCCAAACCCCAGGGACTAGTGACATTTGAGGATGTGGCTGTGGATTTCACCCAGGAGGAGTGGCAGTGCCTGAACTCTCTGCAGAGGACCTTATACCGAGATGTGATGCTAGAGACCTACAGCAACCTGGTCTCCCTGGGGCAACAGGTTTGTAAACCAGACCTCATCCTCAAGTTGGAGGTGGAAGAGCTATGCCCAGCAGAAGACAGAATTCCAATTTGGAGCTTTCCAGAAGTCTGCCAAGTTGGTGAAAAGATTGAGAGCCAGCATCAGGATGACCAAGATCAATGTCTCTTGATGCAAGTTGGATTCCCTGACAAGAAAATAATGACTACCAAGAATGGCCACGAATGTAATGAATTTGGAAACACTCTTCATCTGAGTACAAGCCTTGGTATTCCAATACAAAGACCTCATGAACTTGAAACATTTGGAAAGTGCTGTGGAAAAGAAACACGATAATGGGTGTGCAAAATTATTCTTCCATACCGAGTTTGAGAAATCAAATCCTGTAGTGAAGCCCTATGGATATAAAGGATGCGGGAAAGTCCTCAGGCGAAAGAAGCCCTTTGGATATAAAGAATGCGGTAAAGTCCTCAGGCGAAAGAAAGGTCTTAGTCTTCAAAAATGGAGAGAAACCATTTGAATGTACTGCGTGTCGGAAAACCTTCAGCAAGACGTCACAGCTCATTGTCCACTGGAGGACTCATACAGGGGAGAAGCCCTATGGATATAAAGAATGCGGGAAAGTCCTCAGGCGAAAGAAGCCCTATGGATATAAAGAATGTGGGAAAGTCCTCAGGCGAAAGAAAGTTCTTAGTCTTCATCAGAGAATTAAAAATGGAGAGAAACCATTTGAATGTACTGCATGTCGGAAAACCTTCAGCAAGAAGTCACACCTCATTGTCCACTGGAGGACTCATTCAGGGGAGAAACCATTTGCATGCACCGAATGTGGAAAAGCTTTTAGCCAAAAAACTCAGCTAATTATACCGAGTTTGAGAAATCAAATCCTGTAGTAAAGCCCTATGGATATAAAGAATGCGGGAAAGTCGTCAGGCGAAAGAAAGGTCTTAGTCTTCATCAGAGAATTAAAAATGGAGAGAAACCATTTGAATGTACTGCATGTCGGAAAACCTTCAGCAAGAAGTCACACCTCATTGTCCACTGGAGGACTCATTCAGGGGAGAAACCATTTGCATGCACCGAATGTGGAAAAGCTTTTAGCCAAAAATCTCAGCTAATTATACCGAGTTTGAGAAATCAAATCCTGTAATGAAGCCCTATGGATATAATTAATGGGGGAAAGTCCTCAGGCGAAAGAAGCCCTATGGATATAAAGAATGCGGGAAAGTCCTCAGGCGAAAGAAAGGTCTTAGTCTTCATCAGAGAATTAAAAATGGAGAGAAACCATTTGAATGTACTGCATGTCGGAAAACCTTCAGCAAGATGTCACACTTCATGTCCACATGTCTCTGCCCATGCTCTGTGGTCACCAGCCAGGTGTGTCAGTGCCCATGTACTGTGGTCACCAGCCAGGTTTGTCTCTGCCCATGCTCTGTGGTCACCAGCCAGGTGTGTCTGTGCACATGCTCTGTCTTTACCAGCCAGGTGTGCCTGTGCACATGCTCTATGGTCACCAACCAGGTGTGTCTGTGCACATGTTCTGTGTTCACCCTCCAGGTGTGTCTGTTCCCATGTACAGTGGTCACCAGCCAGGTGTGTCTGTGCACATGCTCTGTCTTTACCAAGCCATGTGTGTCTGTGCCCATGCTCTGTGGTCACCAGCCAGGTGTGTCTGTGCACATGAACTGCGGTCACCAGCCAGGTCTGTCTGTGATCATGCTCTGTGGTCTCCAGCCAGGTGTGTCTGTGCCCATGCTCTCTGGTCACCAGCCAGGTGTGTCTGTGCACATGCTCTGTCGTCACCAGCCAGGTGTGTCTGTGCACATGTACTGTGGTCACCAGCCAGGTCTGTCTGTGACCATGCTCTGTGGTCACCAGGCAGGTGTGTCTGTGCCCATGCTCTCTGGTAACCAGCCAGGAGGTCCTCTGCACGTGCACTGTGGTTACCAGCCAGGTGTGCCTGTGACCATGCTCTGTGGTCACCAGCCAGGTGTGTCTGTGCCCATGCTCTCTGGTGAGCATCCAGGAGGTCCTCTGCACGTGCACTGTGGTTACCAGCCAGGTGTGCCTGTGACCATGCTCTGTGGTCACCAGCCAGCTTAGCCTGCGCAGAATGCACTGTGTTCACCCTCCAAGTGTGTCTGTGCCCATGCTCTGTGGTCACCAGCCATGTGTGTCTGTGCCGATGCTCTGTGGTCACCAGCCGTGTGTGTGTGCCCAAGCTCTGTGGTCACCAGCCAGGTGTGTCAGTGCCCAAGTACTGTGGTCACCAGCCAGGTGTGTGTGTGCCCATGCTCTGTCGTCAGCAGCCAGGTGTGACTGTGCACATGTACTGTGGTCACCAGCAAGGTCTGTCTGTGACCATGGTCTGTGGTCACCACCCAGGTGTGTCTGTGCGCATGGTCTCTGGTCACCAGCCATGAGGTCCTCTGCACGTGCACTGTGGTTACCAGCCAGGTGTGTCTGTGCACATGCTGTGTCGTCACCAGCCAGGTGTGTCTGTGCACATGTACTGCGGTCACCAGCCAGGACTCTCTGTGACCATGCTCTGTGGTCACCAGCCAGGTGTGTCTGTGCCCATGCTCTCTGGTCACCAGCCAGGAGGTCCTCTGCACGTGCACTGTGGTTACCAGCCAGGTGTGCCTGTGACCATGCTCTATGGTCACCAGCCAGGTGTGTCTGTGCACATGCTCTGTCTTTACCAGCCAGGTGAGCCTGTGCACATGCTCTATGGTCACCAGCCAGGTGTTTCTGTGCACATGTTCTGTGTTCACCCTCCAAGTGTGTCTGTGCCCATGTACAGTGGTCACCAGGCATGTGTGTCTGTGCCCATGCTCTGTGGTCACAAGCCAGGTGTGTCTGTGCACATGCTCTGTCTTTACCAAGCCATGTGTGTCTGTGCCCATGCTCTGTGGTCACCAGCCAGGTGTGTCTGTGCACATGTACTGCGGTCACCAGCCAGTTCTGTCTGTGACCATGCTCTGTGGTCACCAGCCAGGTGTGTCTGTGCCCATGCTCTCTGGTCACCAGCCAGGTGGGTCTGTGCACATGCTCTGTCGTCACCAGCCAGGTGTGTCTGTGCAAATGTACTGTCGTCACCAGCCAGGTCTGTCTGTGACCATGCTCTGTGGTCACCAGGCAGGTGTGTCTGTGCCCATGCTCTCTGGTCACCAGCCAGGAGGTCCTCTGCACGTGCACTGTGGTTACCAGCCAGCTTAGCCTGTGCAGAATGCACTGTGGTCACCAGACAGGTGTGTCTGTGCCTATGCTCTGTGGTCACCAGCCAGGTGTGTCTGTGTCCATGCTCTGTGGTCACCAGCCAGGTGTGTCAGTGCAAATGCACTGTGGTCACTAGCCAGGTGTGTCTCTGCCCATGCTCTGTGGTCACCAGCCAAGTGTGTCAATGCCCATGTACTATTGTCACCAGCCAGGTTTGTCTGTGCCCATGCTCTGTGGTCACCAGCCAGGTGTGTCTGTGCACATGTTCTGTGTTCACCCTCCAGGTGTGTCTGTGCCCATGCTCTGTGGTCACCAGCCATGTGTGTCTGTGCCCATGCTCTGTGGTCACCAGCCGTGTGTGTGTGCCCAAGCTCTGTGGTCACCAGCCACGTGTGTCAGTGCCCAAGAACTGTGGTCACCAGCCATGTGTGTCTGTGCCCATGCTCTGTGGTCAGCAACCAGGTGTGACTGTGCACATGCTCTGTGGTCACCAGCCAGGTGTGTCTGTGCTCATGCACTCTGATCACCTGCCAGGTGTGTCTGTGCCCATGCTCTGTGGTCAACAGCCAAGTGTGCCTGTGCACATGCTCTGTCTCACCAGCCAGGTGTGTGTGTGCTCATGCACTCTGGTCACCAGCCAGGTGTGTCTGTGCCCATGCTCTGTCGTCACCAGCCAGGTGTGTCTGTGCACATGTACTGCGGTCACCAGCAAGGTCTCTCTGTGACCATGGTCTGTGGTCACCACCCAGGTGTGTCTGTGCCCATGCTCTCTGGTCACCAGCCAGGAGGTCCTCTGCACGTGCACTGTGGTTACCAGCCAGGTGTGTCTGTGCACATGCTCTGTCGTCACCAGCCAGGTGTGCCTGTGCACATGCTCTATGGTCACCAGCCAGGTCTGTCTGTGACCATGCTCTGTGGTCACCAGCCAGGTGTGTCTGTGCCCATGCTCTCTGGTCACCAGCCAGGAGGTCCTCTGCACGTGCACTGTGGTTACCAGCCAGGTGTGCCTGTGACCATGCTCTGTGATCTCCAGCCAGGTTAGCCTGTACAGAATGCACTGTGGTCACCAGACAGGTGTGTCTGTGCCCATGCTCTGTGGTCACCAGCCAGGTGTGTCTGTGCCGATGCTCTATAGTCACCAGCCAGGAGGTCCTCTGCACGTGCACTGTGGTTACCAGCCAGGTGTGCCTGTGACCATGCTCTGTGATCTCCAGCCAGGTTAGCCTGTGCCCATGCACTGTGGTCACCAGACAGGTGTGTCTGTGCCCATGCTCTGTGGTCTCCAGCCAGGTGTGTCTGTGTACATGCTCTGTGGTCACCAGCGAGGTGTGTCAGTGCAAATGCACTGTGGTCACCAGCCAGGTTTGTCTGTGCCCATGCTCTGTGGTCACCAGCCAGGTGTGTCTGTGCACATGCTCTGTCTTTACCAGCCAGGTGTGCCTGTGCACATGCTCTATGGTCACCAGCCAGGTGTGTCTGTTCACATGTTCTGTGTTCACCCTCCAGGTGTGTCTGTGCCCATGTACAGTGGCCACCAGTCATGTGTGTCTGTGCCCATGCTCTGTGGTCACCAGCCAGGTGTGTCAGTGTCCATGCTCTGTGCTCACCAGCCATGTGTGTCTGTGCCCATGCTCTGTGGTCACCAGCCAGGTGTGTCTGTGCACATGTACTGCGGTCACCAGCCAGGTCTGTCTGTGACCATGCTCTGTGGTCACCAGCCAGGTGTGTCAGTGTCCATGTACTGTGGTCACAACCCAGGTGTGCCTGTGCCCATTCTCTGTGGTCAACAGACAGTTATGCCT